CCTTGATCGATACCATTGAGAACATGGTATGGTGATGTTAGACCGAAGTTAGTTATAACTTCATTTTGGCGATTGACAAGGAGGTTTGTTAGAATATTAGTTTCTGATATTTATTACTTCCTGTTTCTGGTATAATGCATAATAAATTTATTATTTTGATAGATTAGTTCAAATCTGAAAGTTTTTTCACAACAGCTTAATATAATACTTTACTTTTGATTCAATTTCTAATACTTTATTTAAGTTTATATTGATAAAGTTTTTTATCTCTAACAATTCTATAATTATCTGGTCTAATTTCTATGTAAAACAATTTCTAATTCAATAATTTTATAATCGAAAACCTTATATTAAAATCTTTGAAACTATACCAAATTAAGATTATTTTATTCTTATTAAATATAGTAATAACACTTATTTGTGATTAATATGTGGTAATTATAATTATAAATAACATACAGATATATAGCTTAAATATAATAATAATATTTAATCAGAGTTAGTATGTGATTATGAATAAACTTTAAAAAAAATAATTCTGCATAATAAAATTCATGTAGCAACAATAATCAAGATTGGTATATAATTATAAATAAATATAAAAAATAATTGCTATATTATAATAAGCATTATACAATTTATATCATAATAAAGAAACTTTATAATTGCATATTGAAACATACTATTATAATTATTAATAGTATTATATATAAAAGTAGATAAAGTATAGAGTTAATACAGTAAACTCATAACCTGCATTGTATAATTTTACTCTCTGATTTTTTGAATTTACTTACCTTATAACACTACTATAGCAATAGATAAATATGTTATACATCTTGATAAATCTGATAGCCTGATATATTATCAAGCTCTACAGTTATTAATCAGTCTGAGTTAGCTAAAAAGTCCAAATATGAATGACTTACTAAACCAAACTTGCAGTTTAATCCAATATGGCGAAAATAATATTCATAGCTTCAAGATCAAATAATAGATGGAAAAATTTGAATGTTTTGTACATGGTGTTAAGAAATTAATGCAAAAAATATATTTGTACAAGGAGGATGTGAATGGCTTAAAGAGGAGTCTTTAACATGACATATTAAAATTCATGATTATATTAATGCTGCTAAAGACAAAGATATAAAACAGCAAAATTTATTTAGTAGCTTTACAATTTAGTATGGAGAAACAAAAGCTAAAGCTTTAGTAATCATGTGCAATATATATTTTTTATCAAAACACCATTTAGCACTTAATATTTTTTCTGATCTTTGTAATTTAGTAAATTTTACACATTTAAATTATAATGAAATTACTTATTACAATCCACCTTGTACTCTTGAACCACCTTGTCTTTACTTAGAAGAAAACAATAACTTGGAATCTACTAATAAGAAAAATTATGTTACTTACCAAAATTCTGTTGCTAGACATGAAATATTAGAATTAATTGCATATATAGTTGAGAAAGATACTATTTCAGAAATTAATAACTCATTATTTTGGAGCATTCTTCTTGATGAATCTAATACAATTACTAATGAAAAAACTCTTGCAATTGTATCAAAGTATTTTGCTAATAATATTTTAGTAATACGTTATATTAAAATGATTTTATTAAATAAAACTACAGCAGAAGCAATTTTAGCAAAATTAGAATTATTTTGTACTGCTAAAGGACTTGATTTAACTCATTTAATTTATTTTGGTTCAGATAATGCAAGTAATATGACTGGTAAGCTATTTATTAATTAAAGTTATTAGAAATAAATTCTGGATTGTAACTAGAAATTATTTTTAATTAATAATATATAAAAAAATCTGATCATTACTATTACTTTCTACTTATATTTATTAAAATTTTAGGATTACAAAATGGATTAGGTGCAAGATTAAAGTGCAAAAATCCTTTTATTTTAGCTAATCACTATATTTCTTATTATCTTTATTTAGCTACAGAGAATGCATCAAAAGGTTTACAATATTTCTCCAATTATACAACAATAGTTAAAGGAATATATTCCTATTGGTTAGCCTCATATAAATGAAAAACTTTTTACGAATTGTTCAAGATAAAAATATGCATTATGAATTTTATCAGTCTTAAATATTGTTGATATACACTAGCTATCCTGGACAAATGTTATTAATAATTTATACCAAATATTAGATGATATTAAAGAAGTATTTAATAGAGAATCTACTACTACTGCACTATATTTATATGATACAATAGACCAAGATTTTTTTCTTGTTACATATTTTTTAGCAGATTTGTTTTATATTTTACATAAAGTAATTAATATATTCCAATCAAATTATGTTTCACTTGGTGAAATCAAAGCTCAACTATCTATGGCTATTGAAAGTATTACAACAGAGTTTATTGGTTTACCAGAAAATCTACCACAACTTGGCACACAACTTCTTAATTATATGACTGCTAATAGAATATCAACATCTGAACTTTCATTATTTGTAGTACTATATGCAACAAATATAATTACAAGTTTACGAAGCCAATTTCCAGATTCTAACTTATATCATGCATTAAGAATTGTAGATCCACAAGAAATTCCAACTGAATGACAAGCTTTAAATAATTTTGGAAAAGATGAAATTGTATTTTTAGGCAACTACTATGATAAAAAAATTGAAAGTGAATATGGTATTTTAACTCCAAAATTTGATAAAACTAAATTATTTGAAGAATGGAATTTAGCTAAACATATTATTTTAAATTTTAAAACTTTTATTTTGTTGAGGCTTGGCAATATATTTTTGAAACAACTAATTTTCTGAACAATTTCCAAACATAACTTGTTTAGCTATTATTGCATTAATAGTTCCTCAATCAAATAGTTATGTTGGATGTGTATTTTCTCACCAAAATATGATTAAAACCAAGTTAAGAAACCAAATGGCAATTCCTACACTTAATAATCATTTGCTAATTTCTTTTAATGGACCTTCACTTGAAAATTTTGATTTAGAACAAGCATATAAATATTGGGCTTCAAAAGAAAGAATGGTTTTATAAATTTTTAAACATATAACAAATTATTATAAAGTTGCTAAAATATCTACTCATATAAAATATTTTTTCATTTTTATTAAAATAGAATTTCTCATTTAACTTTAAAACATTTTTATATATATAAATTTTGAAATCTCTAATTATTTATAATAATTTAAATAGTAAAAACATTTTTTATTAGTTAAAATTAGTAAATAAACTATTAGTAAAGTTGGTAAATAAGCTATTGGTTAAGATTAGTAAATAAACTATAGTTAAATAAATCTGTTGGGTTAATTAAAATAAAAGATTTGCTTATAAATATAAAAAAATATATATTAATTATTTAGCCTTTTTTTATACACGTATTTAAAATAACTTTATATAATAATAACAAACAAAAATTGAAGATAAATAATTTTATTTGTATATAGTTTATTTTAAAAAAGAATTGATACTTATCTACTTTTATTTATATCGAACACATTGCTAATTGTTCTTATATTATATATATATAATTAATTGAATTAATTAAATTAATAATTATATATCTTATATTTTTTATTAATAATATCTTAAAGTTTTTAATATATCCAATTCGCAATTTTGCTATATTTTAAAGTACTTACATTAGGGTGTTTTAGAAATAATATTTGAAAATAAGTAGGAATTTAAAAATCCTATTTCTATTTTGAAATTTTAAACAAGACAATAAAATAGATATTTTTTAAGATAAATAAACAAGTATTTATTTATAAGTAAAATAGAATTTTAGAAAAAAATTTACAATTATAAAGATATTTGTTATTATATAAATAAGTTTACAGATAAAAATAAATAGAATTTATAAATTACTAGAAATAAATATATTGCCAATTTAATTCAAAATTAGAAATCTGAATATAAGCTTTATACCATCTGATTAATAAATTTTATAGTGCACTTATTTTAAAGTTGTGCACATAGATTCTAGGATATTATAAAATTTATAGTGCACTAATTTTTAAAATTATTCACACAAATTAAGTGAGCACTGTGCACAATATTCACATACTTTTGAGTTGAGATTTTATACACTGCCCTTTGTCTTTTTTTAGCTTGTGAATTCCTGTGTGAATATATTAAGCCAAAAAAAATATTAAAAAATTCGGCAAGCTGTTGTTTCAAAAGCCAAAAGTATTTATCCGAAAAGAAAATGTACATTTGAAATTCGTGAATCGTAAAATATTTGTATCCTAATATCAATGAGGTAAATTATACAAAAAAGATTGCATTGTGCCGTGAAATTAAAATTTAACCGATTAAACGCGCTTATCATTAACCATTCGGAGCAAGAAATGTTGCATATCCGCTTTTGAGAAAAGTGCATACAAGAAATTATGGATCCGCGGACTTGAAAACGGTTTGTATTATAATCTATTGATTGAATGATAATGGGATAGACTTAAGTTTATGTATCTGTTTCTGGGTTTTATCATTTCGTGAATTCAAAATGTTTTACCTAGTTGATGAATTAATAATAATCGATGACGACCAAGTATTAGGATCAACTCTTATATTAACATTAATGGACTTATATTGTTAACGTTAATTTATATGTTATAAGAACATTCCGAGCCATTGGAAACTTCGTTTCCACTTTACCCATTTATTTTATAAGTTCTTGATAATTGGTTTGCCTTTGTTTTCTGACACAAGCTGAAAGTTTACTGAGTCTCTACTTACTTAAAAAGCTAAATTACTACTAAAAGTAAGATTCTGGCCGATGATGAAAAAATCGGATATAAGGTAAAACCTCCATAAGTGCACCCTCTTTAAATGCACCCTCAAGTTCTGGCCCAAAAATATACATGCCTCCTATAAATGCACTTTCACTTATTGAACACTAAGTACACGTCGTTAAAATTGGTCTCAAGAGCATGCACTTATAGAGGTTTTACTGTACAAATTATTAGCTTAACAGTTATAATTGGCTGTTCCATTTTATTAAAATAATTATATCGCACTAAAATTTTAAATGTAGAAAATAATGAACTTAAAGTATGGCAAGATTGTAATTAAATTTTTGGACAAAGTCTGAAAGCTCGAAATGAATCGACTAATCGTTTAACGCTAAGCCAATAAATTTTTGATCGATAAATAATAATCTCTAAAATCTGTCTATAAATACATACATATTGATGTATTAAAAATTCCCTATAAGAAAAGCGATTCTGGTTGTGGCTCGGTTGATTTCGGGTATTCACGAAATGGTATGGATGCGTGGCAGGTAGAGGATCATTTTAGGTGATAGTTCGGACATTAGGTTTATAATTCTGTCAAACGTAACTCTGGTAAAAAAAATTCTGGTAGAATTAAATTAATAAAATTGGTAAACATAATTCTGGAGGAGAGTAAAGTAAAAAGTTACACCTTCGATATAATACATTTATTAAAGCCAGAGTAACATCGAACTTTTTGTCACATATGACAAGAAGTTCGATGTTACTCTTTTGATCTTAATAGATATATTGCATCATAACGTAACTTTTTACAGCACATGGAAATTTAATTGTTATAGATAGTGCATGTGGCACAATATTTTAAACATTCTCGTTATATCAATATGGCTTTCTTAAGATGAGCGACGTAAAAGGAAATTATGAAATGTTATCTAATAAGATTTATGATAATTCAAAACCGAAATAATAAATTTTTGCACGTGATTTAAATGACTATTGCTATGTTTTGTTTAGCTTTATACAGTACAAGAGGTTAATTAGATTATTAGTGCATTGAGTATTAAATCATATAGTATATAAGTGATGCAGAATTTAGCATCCCTATAAGAAAAATGGTTCGGATCGGTACGGGTTGGTTTCGGATAGGCACGGGCCTTTGTGGCACGGGTCAAGATC